GAGGAAGCTTGCCACTGCATGGGACTTTCCAGTCTGGGCGGGTTCTGTCACCTCCGTTGTCTTATCAGGCTGACTCATCAGGGCTTGACACTGGAGGAAGCTGCTAACTGAAATGTTGGTGGCTTGGGTTTGCTTCAGCCTAACACAGTAGACACCCATGAAGGAAAAATGCCCAGGAGGAGGTCAAAGGCAAACCTTCCTCAGTGACTAAGACATAAAAAAACCAAACTCACTGCCATTGAGTTGATCCTGACTCACAGCAACCCCTCCTTGGGTTTCTGAGGTGATATCACTACGGAAGTAGATTGCCCAACCTTCCTTCCAAGGAGTGACTGGTGGGTTTGAACCGCCAGCCTTCTGGTTAGCAGTCAAATGCCTTAGGCACTACGTCACCAGAGCTAAAAGGGAGCAATAAGAACACCTTTCTTTGGACAGATATTGTATGATTCCACTTATATGAAATATCTGGACTCGGCAAATGTACAGAAGACTAAAGTTTATTAGTGGTCCCCAGAGTTGGGAAAGGGGTCCCATTGGCACAAACCATTGAGGACTTGGCTGCTGACCAAAAGACTGACAGCTTGAACTCACCCAAAAGCTGTGAAAGAGAAAGACTCGGGGATCTGCTCCTATGAAGACTTCAGCCTAGATGACCCTATGGGCATCTCTACTCTCTCACATGGGGTCCTTATGAGTTAAAACTGACTCAGCAGCATCTCACAACAAATAACAACAGGGGTGGGTGGAAGGAGAAAAGGGGGGAGTCACTGCCTAGGGGACACTGAGTATTTTTTAATGGTGATGGAAAATTTAGCAGTGTATACTAGTGATGGTGGCATAACATGATTAATATAATCAGGGCCACTGAATTGTACGTGTAAAAAATGTTACATCGGTAAATGTTGTGTTACACACACACACACACACACACATATATATATGTGTATATATATATATATATATATATATATATTTACCACAACAGGATAAAAAAAAGAAAGAACATTTCTCTTTAGCTGGTCTGAAATAATGGGGCTCCTAAGGACAAAAACAGGATGAGTGGCTACAGATGCCCTTGATGCCACACCTTCCTACCCAGGTCCTGAGAGCAGGCACTGGCACCCAAGGACAATTTAGTCACAGAGTCCTGTATATGTTTATTCAGTTCATAAAATAGGTTCTGTTGAAGCAGGACAGTTTTTGGGCTTGAGTGTGAGTGAAAGAGGGTAAACACATAAGGTATTGGGGAGTGATGTGCAATCCTCAGGTGTAAGGATAGGAAATCTTTTGGAGATTGTAATGTCTTTCGTTAAAGCCACATTTAAACTGCAGCCGGGAGAACACTCACTGCGAATTCTGTCTGCCTGCAGAATCCTCTGAAGAGCTTTAAAAATGCTTTGTCTGTCTTGTCCTGTGGTCAGAACGACCCCTACAGGTAGGCCGCGGCTCCGAAGGGCACTGGCAACTTGATTGGCTGTGTGCACCCAAATGTCTTCATTTGAGGAAATGACTCCCGCATGAGCCCACCGGAAATATTTCATGACAGTTACCAGCACTCGGATGGGAGAAGGGAGTGTCCGAGAAAAGGTCAGGTAGCTATTTTTATTGTCTAATTCATGATTCACACAAGCCCAAGAGAAAATCCCTTTGTTCCAGCTGTTTCCCAGCAGCGAGGGGGCCTCACAGTAGCCAGGGTTAGCAGGTCCAATAAATCCTGAGGCCATCTGGTGGTGGGAAATAAAACTGGAGAGGGCCCTGGAAGTCTGGCAGTCTTCATTGAGAATCACATATTCAAAAGAGTAGCCCAGGTCCAATGATGGGTCCCTGTTGATCCGCTCTATAGCTAATCTAGCAGCAACCTCAGGCAGGGCTTTTGAGAACAATGGATCACAAGCCCAAGGGCCTACCACACCTACCGTGTAGGGAGGTGCCCACACCTGCTTCGGGAGGGACATTACAGCCAGGAAGCACAAGCACCACAGGAGCTTGGAGGATGCAAGGCCATGTTGTGCTGGCTGTTTGCTGGTAGCCATGAACCATAGCACAAGGCAAGAGAAAGGCCGGGGTCCCAGGAACATAGCCCTCCTGCTTCCAGCAAGCTAATGAAGAAACACTGGCAGGTTATTCTGCTGTCCCGAGATGTACAGCAGTGTTTCCAAATGCCTGTCAATCAAAAGAAAAGATTTGTTATCATATAATTTCTGAAGCTTCTGAAAACATTCTTTATGAAACAATGATAATTGCCCTTACTGTTGCCCAGTCCTTGTGGTTGAAAGCATGAGATCATGAAAAGGCAGAGGTATCACATAGTCCAATATCCTTGTTATAATACAAACTAGAAATAGGGAACCATATGTTGGTCCAGAGAAGGGCTTGCTCCTAGAGCACCCTGGTTTCCAGATTTTTCAGTGACAGATAAAAGACTGAAGCTGGAGGAGGCAGCAGTCCCCAGGCTGAGAGCTTCTTTCCTTCTCTACCTTTACTCCTTGTCTCACCAAATGGCACCTTCCAGTCACTATTTGCCCACGTGCTAAGTCAGAAACTTGGGAGTCAACTGAGACTCCTTCTTCTTTGTCCCCACACTCAATCCATCACCAAGTCCTATTAATCTAACTTGGGTAATAGCTGTCTACCTCAGGATTGTAAGGGTTACATGAGTTAACATACATCAAATGCTTATAACAGTGCCTGAAATGTCATTAACATTATACTAGTGATATTATTTATCATTATTATTGTTTTAAATAGGTCATTTTTCTCCACTCACACAGATCTTTTAGAGTCTAAAAGAGAGATGAAATTTAAATAGATAATGGCTTAACAGAGTAAGAAATGCTACAAACAATGTAGCCTAGAGGAAGACAGAGAGGACAGCCAAAACTCCAAAAGTCTTCATTTCATGTCAGAAATGGTGGGAAGACGGGGGATGTTTCTCTGGGCTGAATACTGAAAAAAAAAAAGTGAGCCAAGCGAATGGGGTCAGGAGGGGGTTGGGGTTCTGGGCTTTCTACACAGAAGGAATAAAATACAGAAAGACCCAGAGATTAAAAAAAAAAAAAAAAGAATATATTAGATTCTCAGAATTCCAAGGCATTTGTTCTGCCTTGATCTGTGATGTGAGGCAAAAAAGAGGCCAAAGCACTAAAAATCCTATAGACCATTTATACATTTTTAGATTTAATCCTGTATACAATGGCCAGTGATTGGAGATTTTAACCAGAGAACTAGCATAATCAGATTTCCATTTTTGAAAGACAACTGTACCTTCAGTGTGGAGAATGGGTGGAAAGAGGCAAGACTGGAGGCAGAAAGACCAATTTGGAGGCTGTTGAAGTTAGCAATCCATATGAGAAATTATAACAGACCAAGAAAATGGTAGTGAAGTTCTAGAGAATAGGAGATGAATTCCACTAAAACTAAAAATATCTAGACATTAAGAAAAGGGTCATAGTCTCAGGAGACACTAAGGTCAATTGGCACAACATACTCCACAAAGAATGTTCTACATCCTACTTTGGTGAGTAGCAACTGGTGCCTTAAAAGCTTGGGAGGGACCTCTAAGGTGTAACTATTGGTCTCTCTCCATCTGGCGCAAAGAAAAGTGAAGAATATCAAAGACACTAGGAAACAATTAGTCCAAAGGATTGATGGACCACATGAACACCAGCCTCCATGATGCTGAGACCAGAAGAACTAGATGGTGCCCAGCTACCACTGCTGACCATTCTGAAAGTCAGAATAGGAGGTCCCAGGTAGAGTGGGAGAAAAATGTGGAACAAAACTCAAAATCATAAAAAAAAGGCTTATTGGTCTCATGAAGACTGGTAGAACCCCTGAGACTACAGTCCTTAAACACACTTCAAGCTAGGAATTGAACTTAACTCTCAGGACTCAACTTTCAGTCAAATTATAGGCCTTTATAACACCAAGCAATAACACCAAGGAGGCACACATTCATTAGAACAATCAACCATAAGAGATCAAAAGGACAGCATTTGCCTAGGGATAAAGCTCGGAAAGCAGGAAGTGATAGGAAAGAAGGGAGAAGATAAATGGCAAACACAAGGAGGAAGTGAGAAGAGTGCTGGTACATTACGGGGATTGCAATCAATGTCACAAAACAAAATGGGTATGAATTGTTGAATGAAAAACCAATTTGCTGTGTAAACTTTCACCCAAATCTCAATTTTAAAAAAAGAAAGAAAAGAGAACCAACAAGAACTTGGTGACTGACTAGATGTATGGAGTCCTTTTTATGGACACCAAGATGGCTTTGAGCTTTTCAGATCTAGGCAACTGGTTGGAAAATGGCACACATCTCTGAGATAGGAAACACTGAAGGAAGCGGGTGGGAGAGACAATGCATTCTACTAGACATGTTGAATAGGTGGTGCTCGTACAACATACCCTGGGTGGTGCAGTTAAAACATTTGGTTGCTAACCAAAAAGTTGGAGGTTCAAGTCCAATTAGAGGTGCCTCCAAAGAAAGTCTTGTTGATCTACTTCCAAAAATTCAGCCATTGAAAGCCATAAGGAGAACAGTTTACTTTGACACATACAGGCTCACCGTGGGTTAGAATTGACTTGATGGCTACTGGTTGGTTGGTAGAACATACAAGTAGCAATGGGCAGTAGATAATCTGACATACTGGAGCTCATAATAAAGCTGATCTAGAGATATAAATTTGGGAGTAATCAAATGATAGAAGGCAATTGAAGGCATGACAATGCACAACATCAACAAAGGAGAGTTGTGAAGTAAAGAAAGATGACAAGACTCTTAGAGCCTACAATATTTAAATGTCAGGCAGAGAGAAGGGAGCTTATAACCAAAACTTACATGGAAAACTCAGAGGAAACAGAGCAAATTCCAGGAAACAGTGGTGTCTTGCAATCCAAGAAAGAAGGAACTTTGAAGATGAAGAAGTGATATCAGTGTCACAAAGTGCTGAAAAGTCAAGTAACCTAAAGACAGAAAGGTATCCTTTGCATTTGGATTCAGAGTAAGCTGTAAGTGGAGGGACTACAATCAGTCAAAGAATGAATGTGAATTAATGAAATGCAGTTAGCAGGTGTAGAGACCAAAAAACCAAACCTACTGATATCGAGTTGACGCTAACTCTTAGCAACCATATAGCACAGAGTAGAACTGCCTCATAGGGTTTCCAAGGCTATAAATCTTTATGGAAGAAGACTACCACATCTTTCACTCACAGAGTGGCTGATGGGTTTGAACCACTGATTTGTCAGTTAGCAACTGAGTGCTTAACCACCACATCACCAGGGCTCTTAAGTGTATAAAACTCTCAAAACAACACATGTAAAGCCTTTCTCAGTCTGGCCCTGGTCTTTGTCTACCACCCCATCTCCCACTGTTCTCATCTGATACGCTAGTAAACTTCTTGCAGTTCTCCAGACACATATCACATAGTATATCAAGCCATTAGAAAATGTCCCGTGCCCCAAATCTCTGTTCTCCTGATGAACTCTGCATTCAAGACACAATTCTAGTGCCCCCTACTCTGTGCAGCCTTAGCTAACACTCCCAAGTTTAGTTCATTGTTTCTCCCACTATGCCTCATACTTAAATCTATTAGAGAAGACATTATTCTGATTTATAAATTGTCCCATATTCCTAGTCAGCATTTTGACAAGGATATTGAACTGTGAGATATCTCTATCCTTACAGGACCTCATACATTCAACCACAAGGAATGGACAACAATGAGGGCAACTCTATATGGGGAACAGGGCCCACTGGTTTGGAAACTGTTAGGGGTCTCTCTCTCTCTTTTTCTTTTTTTAAGACCTAATCCCTACCCATGTGCCTAACATGTATCAGTTTTTAAAATAAATGAATAAAAACCTCAACTTCATCAGGAATAACCTCACTGGACATAATCAGAAGAATTGAATTGTTCAAGGGAGATGTTAATGAGGAAAGTCCTAGTAAATTCTTAATTCTGACCAAATATCAAAACAATGGCATACTTCTTTTCAAGTCTGATAATCAGCACTGACGTGCACTGGCCAGACATAATTGGATATTTATGACCAGCAATAATTTGGCCTATCACTCCTAATTGTATTAAAGACCCTGACAGCTCAAGAGGCCCTCCTGGGTCATACCAGGTGACTCTTAAAAATGTACCACAATTGTTTTCCCCAACATTTGTACCCAGGTGAAAGCTGGTTTAAATGAAGGTGAAGAAAGACTTGAGGAGGAAGCAAGGCACAGAGGACAGTGCAAGGAGGTTAACTGACTGCCTCTTCCTCTCTAAATACACCTTAA